GTAAGAAATGCCTAGTGGATTGGTTTAGCACAGTTGTGGGTGACGATGGCACCAACAAATAGGCATGTAGCTTGGATGGAATAGAGAGGGAAGGAAAAGGAAGGGTTGCTTTTTGCTTCTTCAGAGGGGCTCCAGGCTCCAGCATCACCTCTGGCTGTTCCTCTCCAGGCTAAGAGCGCCCGCTTCATCCTGGCAGCACAGACTGTTGGCACGTGAGATGGACTCACACTGAACTCTGCAGGGAGTGCCAGGCCCCTGACTTGTGATTGGATCCTTCAGCTCTCCAGTGCTCAGTTGGACCCTTCCACACCCGACTACAGTCAGCCACTGTGAGCCTACCTTTAAGTGCTTTACATATCATATAGGGATGATTCAAAATGCCATTTTCTTATGCAGAATCCTGAAGACTCGGGAGAGCAGGGCCCTTAATCTGACCTCTTAGGTGCTCCAGCCTATAAAGGCTTGTAGTAGCTTGGGGTCCTACTCCCAGAGACATGCATGCAGGAATCTGTCAAGGCAGGAAACCTGGGGCCCCAAGTCCCAACTCCCATCTGCTGATGTCTTGCCACCTTCCAAAAGTACTGCTGTACCACGGTGCTCAGGACGGTCCGGTCTCTCCTCTCGTCCTCAAAGGCCACACCCCCGCCCCTGCCAGCAGAGCATCTGGCACTGTCTGGCAGGTTGGTCCTGGCCCCAGGAAGTTTTCGCTTCCCACCCACGGAAAAGGTAGGGCCGGTGTGTTGGGGACTGGTTACGGATCCTCGATTCAAAGCCACTCCTCCCACGGTAGCAATCGTGCTTGCTTTCGAAGGTGTTTTACTGTCATTCCACACCTTACATGTTCCCAGGATCCCCTCCCCGAGTTCGTTTCTCATTTTATGTTATTCTCAGGTAATCTCACCTAGTCACAGAAATGCACCAGGCAGGGGCTCCCAGACTTTTCTCCAAACTTCCTTGGGCTTTAGAAGCCAGACTGCTCCCCAGACATCACCACTGACCCCGTAAAGTAAACACAACTCAGACTGAACTCTCAAGCCAGAAACCTGGGAATCCCCAGCCCCTCCCGCTTCCTCGCTGCCCACGGCTTTAACCTCTCAGTCACAAATCTGCCTCCTACCCGGGGCTTTGACTCAGTCTGGGCCCCAGCCCCACTTGCCTGGATGACTTCACCACCCCATGGCCTCCCTTTCCAAGCTCACCGCCCACCACCACTCACACCCATGCCCCCTTCTACAGGTAAACCTGCCCAGGTCCTCTTCCGGATCAGCATTCTTCTCTGTAATTCAGGCTGGTCTCAAACTTGAGGCAATCCTCCTGCCTCAGCCTCCTGAGTGCTAGGATTACAGCATGTACCACCATGCCCAGTCTCCTTCAATTTCAAGACAATCTTATCTCCTTTGCTAGACCACCACTCTCTTTGCTCAGCTTGGCCTAGACAGTGCCTTTGTACACATTAGACAAAGACACCTGCTCTAGGCAAGTCCAGCTGTGGCCATAAGCTTGCTGAGCAGAGCCTGGTAGTGGGAACAGAACCCAGGGCCTTACACAAGCTAGGCAAGTGCTCTGCCCCTGACCTTTAGCCCTAGCCCTTCTTAATTTTTGAGACAAGCTTTCACTAAGTTGCCCAAAGTGGTCTCAAACTTGGCGATCCTCCTGCCTCAGTCTTCCTGCTCAGCAGCATGTACAATCTGGACAAGCACTGGGAGCTGGCCTGTTTCCCAAAGGGCCCCTGCCGCACACTGGGCCTCATGGCTCTTCCCCGCTACTCATCCTTAACCCTAAATTCCCAGCAGCTCCTAGGCCCTGCTGCACTGGGTCTCTGGCACCACCAGCTCAGCCTTTGGGCATCTCAGGACGGGTCGACCTCCCCTCTCCAGGCTGGACTTCATGAGGCCGCCGTTGCTCGATCTGGGTGGACGAACCCTCCAGTGAAGGGGCTTAAACTTGGATCCACGGTGCTGGGCACTAGTAGGTGCTCAATAAACGTTACCTGAGCAAAAGAGTGGGGGAGTTTGAGTGACAGCCCGATGGACCGGCGGGACCCACCGGCTGGCAGTGAGCGGCAGGAGGCGCTCTCCAGGAGCGTGGCCTTGCCCTCTAAGCAGCCCGGGTCCTCAGCCGGACCGTGCTGGGCCGCAGGAGGGCCGGCGCG